ATTAAATATATATACTATAAATAGATTTTTATAGATTTTAAATTTTTACTTTGATTTTTTTTTTTGACTTTGAATTTTTAATTTGATAATTTGATCGGTTATATCCAATCTCGTACCCAGAGCCTGCGTTTCTTCAGGCTTTTGGGTTATCTCTCACTTTCCGAAAATTGCGCATGCGTCAAAATATGGGTTATGCTTGAGCCCTTGTTCTTCGCCGCAGGCCATAAGAAACGCATGCTCTTGGTACGAGATTGAACGCGAGGCTAGTCAGTCTCTAGTCATTGCAGAGAACTGGTCCCATATTTCGATGGGGCGGTATATACGTCAAACCTTTATAAGGTTCCATAAATATGCCAACGCTTATATCTTAATTTCCGGCGAAACTTCTATCAATCTACCTATTTAAAAAAACAGAAATTAACGTTTAAATGTGGTTTTTCTATTTCGTAATTTTAGCATGTCATTGTCCCAAATAGACTTTTAATTCGTTTCTTGCAGTAATTTCCTCTACATTTTCCTTCTCCGCCTTGGTCCACTTTAGCAGTATCAATTAATATGAAAACAGAGATCTTCAAACATAAGCTTAACTATAAGGTTTTCACATCACAGACTGTATATTTTCTAATCTGAAGTCATAAAATTGAAGGTASATAGTTTTKTATTTATTTTATTTTTATTTATTTTATATTCTTCTCGATACCTAATGTGGTGCCAGCTAATGTATTGAGATGCCGAAATTATAAATTTCGGAATGCCCAAAACTTTAAATGTAGAATTTTGGTATTTCTTATCTCGAAAACGGAAGAGCCCATCGTGTTTTGTAGATGGAGGGGGGATTGGCACTGTCACTCCGTCCAATTCAATCCGCATGCAACGAGGGCTCGTAAATTTGATGGTGATTTTTATCTATCTTAATCGGGTACTGCTTGAAAGATCCTAGTCGTATATTTGTTAAAGAAGAAGTCTCTCTCCGATATGAATGAACTGTGAACAACACTTCCAATCATCACCCGGTATAGACTTTATTCCGAGTCCAGTCGAGAATTAAGATAAGCTAAGAATATTGATATTACTTTCAGTGACGGTATCTTATAGATAGAAGATATAGAATAGTCATAATATAGATTTATATATAGAATCATATATCAGTGTTATATGAATAGATTCCCCGACTAGATAGACATATCACTCAGATCCAATTCAAAGCTTGCCGCTGAACACTATTTATAACAGACATGCGAAATAAATTTTCACTCACTATATTTTGAATGAGGATCTCATCTGGTCTTTGGCTTCAGAATATCGATCTACTTGAAGGTTTATAAGATATTTCCAGCTGGACTTAGGAAGCAAATAGAAGTTATTAACCAATCCGAAGTCCAATAAAAGCAAATATCAAATAACTTCCGATGCCGAGGGTAGAAAAATTGTATTATCAATAGACAGAGTATTACTAGATTATTAGCGTTTTGTCTTTGGGTTTTTTTCGAAAACTCTCTTGATTAGTCTTCTCTTCAAAAAGGCAAGCCGCCGTCATTCTCGTAKCTCTTGTAGCCTGCGCAATCTCGTACYTAGAGCCCTTRTTTCTTACTGCGCATGCTCGAAGAAAGATTGGTTTTAACGAATCAGTGGCTCTTAATTATGCGCATGTTCAAATCGTTATTCCTAAGGCAGGAGTTTTCTTAACTGCGCATGTCCACACCGTAATATGTTTATGAATCAGGTAGTGTGCGATACGGGTTCCCAAAGCACGATAGGTAAAAACTGGAGTTTGCTCAGTCATTTTTCAACAGCTTTCTTATAGATTTGAATAGTATTCAAAACCAAATCCAGCAAAGCTTAAAAGGCGAATACAGTGTACAAAAACATATATTTCTACAGAAAGCAATCAATTCATTGGATTCAAGACGAGAATAGCATGTAGGATGACCAGTTTTTGTTGATAGCAATCTATGAAGGAGATTTTTGATAATTGTCATAAAGCTTAGCTGATTACCACAGATCAAAATTTACGCTAAATTATAACGCTGTAAGATAAAACAAAAAGTGTGAGCCGTGGGGCAAGATTATCGACCCTACCGCCAACTTATCTTATTATGAGACATTGATCTAGAGAGGAGAAGGCAGGCATCGAAAAACGAAAAAYATTCCGGATGAATTATCGCGATGTTATCTCATTAAAGTTAGTAATTCAAGAGTAAATGGCTTCGAAATATATCTTTTGCATGATTTCCATTTTTCATAGTTATATATATATATATATATATCAATATATCCTTCCTTGTTGTTAAATAAGATCTCAAAATCTAAAGGTTTTCTATATATTGTTTTATCAATATGATATCTCACTTTAGATCTAAAAAAACTCGAAAGTGGGTTGAAGGTTTCTTTGCACTTAGCCTCTTAAATGGTGCTTCCCTCGCCTAAGTTTGTATTTTAAAAACTAACTTCACATATATAGGAAATGGAAACGGCTTTCATAAAACTGCTATTACACTAACTGTCCTCGTTATGTAAACAAATTACGGACTGTGATGGTAAAATAGAATTAAGGACAGATGCGATCGAACAGAGGATATATATACGAAAATGTCATACTAATAGCACTTTTAAATAACAAAACTGTTCATATTCTTAGCTTACCAGTGTGTTCTTTCGTTTAAAAAGATGTTCGTATGTAAATTAACCTAAAAGTGGGTTTTAACTCCGTAATCATAGATCATTTCATTTTCAAATTCAATAAAAACGTTTTTTCTTCGTCATTCATATTCTTAATGTGTTTTTTTTTTTCCTTTTTTTTTTTTTTCTTTTTTTTTTTTTTTTTTCCTATTTCTTTATTGTTTTATTATCGCCGGCCCGGAATTTCCTAACGTATAACTTAATTTTCAGAGCAAATTGTTTAAACACAGCGGCCTTTCAAGAACGGTTATTTTATCTTTTTATTAAAATCAATAACGAACAAAATTTCCTGTACCTTTTAACTTTTCTTGTGCATTTAAGAAATACATCATCTTAACGTCATTAAGCTAGAGCAATAAGTTTTTTAATTGGTTTTGTTTGCAAAATAACGTCTCTCAAGAGCTACCTATTGGACAAGGCTAACGTGTTTGTGACTGTTTTTCAGTTATTTTAGGAAAAGGTCGAAATCTTATAACAGCCGCCTTCAAGACAGCTAGCGAGAGAGATGAATTGATAGCTCAATATATATTTGCCTGGGGTCATTTGTATTTGTTTCCGACGTGACATTCAGGAGAGTTCCGACAGAAAAAAGCTGTCAAACGAGCAAGATTTAAGCTAGTGACAAGCAAGCAAGGAGCCACATCAGAGAGGAAAGTCCACCGTGAAAAAGACGGAATAGACAGCTTGCTATTAACAACGCTTTACGCACGTAAGTTTAACTTCTCGTATTTACTAACTCAATAAATCCGAACAGCTCCATTTCATAAATTATTAAATTCAAGTGAAAATTAGACGAAGAAAAAGCTTTTAATGATTTTGTGTAAAGTAAATATTGTGTCGAAAACTGACAGGTTCTATTCTTATCGTTTCGTCACCTTCCTAGCTCTTATGGAAAACTTATTAGGAAAGTACATTCATAGTAAGGCATAAAAAGTATAGCTTAATCATAAGGTCGTAAATTCCGAATTTCACCTTATTTTTGTTTTTGAACGTTTTATAAACCACAAGTTATGCTGCATGTGAGTCAATTAGGTATCCCAAGTACTTATTAATTCCCAAACACTTTAAATAAAAATGAGCTCGACTCTTAAGATTTTGAAAATCTTTTCAACTGTCCATTAAGTTCTTTGGCTTATCAAACCGGCGTAGTAGCTGTAAATCGAGATTTGTCATATATTTACTTATTTAATCATTTGATGTACTTATTCATAAATTTTCGATTCAATATTTTCAGTTTGATCAAGGAGTTGTCCGTCTAGTTCTGCTTGTCCGCAAAAAAACTCAACGTAAAGAGGTAGCCGCGAAGATTGCTCGCAGCACTTCAAGACCGGCCTAACTCCGCACTCGAATTGCAATTCTATGTTTACTATACGTCGTGAGAGAAAAAACAGATGAAGAAAACGAGTCGACTGTCATAAGATGCAGCCATTAATTTTCTCACACAAAGAGGACGAGGAATTTTAGAGGCAATACGAAACAAAAAGATAAAAAAAATAAAGAAAGATCTATCAGAAGTCTCAAGCCGTTGGAATAAATTGTACATTGTCATTTTTGTTTGGAAATTAGGAACTGAAAAAGTTATGGCAAATAATTCAACTAYGGCAAAACAAGGCGATATTACACCATATCTATACACAGAACTCGTCTCTGCTATCTATCTATCGATCGCATCGCCGATCACGGTAGGCGCAAATGGGCTACTTCTGGCATCCATTTGGAAAGACCCTTTGAAATGTTTTCGAACCCCGATTACTTATTTCATCATTGGGCTAGCGATGGTTGATCTTCTCACTGGTTTAGCGGTAGAACCCTTCTTTGCTGCTTGCTATTTTCTGCACTTTACAAAAGGAATAACCTATGCTGGTCCCGAATGCAAAGAGATGTCGAAAATAGCTGGAATTATCTCTACGATTGGACTGAGCACATCGTTTTTGATCGTCTTAGCTTTGTCATGCTCTCAATTCATTGCTATCAACATTCCTCACAAATACAAGGYTTTTATCACTACGAAGCGTGTGTTACTCTGCGTGATAATCTCAGTGGTGTATTTCACATGCTTCAGTCTGATCCAGTTGAGTGCCAACATCCCTAAAGCAGTATTCTATCAGATTGATCTCTACCTMCATGCTACTCTTATCCCCCTTCTGCTCCTGATTTCGCACGCCTTYGTCTTGCGCTCTTTACTTAGCTATGCCAAGAAGTCCCAGAACATCGGAAACAATGGAAGCACCTTTCACGGGCCTAAGATGAACGGCTACAATGTCAACAAGGAAGAAAAGAACCCAGTTCTACCCAAAAAAAATAAGAGTTTGATGAAGAAAAATAATGCTGAAAAAGTCCGATTCAATCAAAGGCAACTCACCATCGTGACCCTATTGTTGTCGGCCGYCTTACTCCTTTGTTCTCTCCCACACACCATTGTCTTCTATTTGTTTTTGTACAAGAAAATTGAGACGTTCGAAGAAGATCTCGCCATCAACATTGCCCTACGCATCAGCGATGATATCCTCTTTTTGAAGGTACTTCTTGATCCTTTTATCTATTGCTGGAGACTGCCAAAGTATAGGAAGGCTTTACAGAACACTTTGCTATGCCTTAGACGACAAGCCAGAGGTTCCGAAACACAGGAAATGACTGAYCAGAGAAACGAAACATTTACCGTAAATGTCAAATAAATACAGGATAATTGCGCGAAATATTGCAACGAATGCAGTCTGGGAAAGAAGAGAAAACAGCCAAGTTGAATGCATAGTAATCGTGAGTTTAAATGGCGCAAGTATATCTGTGCCGTAAATTGTGAAAAAATACAGAATAATTGCAAGAAATATTGCAAAGAATGGAGTCAGAGTATAAGATTTTTTATGTACTATCTGAACGCAAAGAAAACAAGAAAATCAGAGCAAGAAACTACGAAAAGTTTCGAGTTTTTATCATGTCCAATGAATCAGTTATATGTGTTTAATATTCGAGAGATCGCGCGGGGACGGAAAAAACGCTTAAAAAGTTGCAACAAGAAAAAGTGTGCACCGTCGGCTATTATTGATAGCAATTGACTTTGAAAATATAAGGAACTACCGACGTTCAATATAGGTAATTTAACCTTAATGCAGTTTTCTAACACAAAAACCGATGATTGTATGATATTTAGTGTATGTCATAGCAACAAAATCACAATTAATCACAATTATTTATATTGTATTGGTCATCAAGACTCATCATGTATATCACATGAACATTTGATGTAGAATTCGGACGAAAAATTCGTATCAAACACTTGTAATTGTCCTACCAACATGTYCATCTTCAACAGAGAAGTGATGACAATGGTCATCATTGACGCATGCGCGGAGATGACGTCATTCTAGAGCTATATCCCACATGGGTTAATCAATGCTTTTGCATAGCGTTAGTAAGTTTGTGTGAGTTAGTAGTCGTTTAGGGTTTCTTAAGAAAATAGGTGGGTGTACAATGACAAATTTTGTTTTGATTGATTGTTATTTAAATTGCCAACCAAAAATCTATTGGAAAATCCAATAAAGCAAAACGACAAAAACTATCTTAAAAATGGTTGGCACATTAAAATCACACGAGACATTGTTTATCAACACTGCGTCCACTTTTAAGTTCAGCAAAAAGACCTGATAACCATATTGGTTGGCATAACTAAAAAAAAACATATAAAAACCTTAGATTTAAACAATATGGCAGCCATGTCACAAAAATTAAGCAAACAAACAATCGAAGACGTTGCTTAAAGATATCGAAAAGTGCTAATACGACTGAAAGAGACTCAACGACTCGCTCTAATCCCTGACATAGCCAGAACTCGCGACGAATGTCTCGCACAAGACTCAACACTCAAAGAYGACTGTTGCCAACCTAATGAAAATCAAAACTGTTTCTAAGTGAATTCAGACTAACTAGCGGTTTTGATCCCTTCGTCCGAGAACGGCGCCCTGTTTGAGGCGAAAAGATGTAGAGTAATTTGCTTGTCATTTTTAACTGAMGAGTACTGAAATAGAAATTGGCTTATCTGTTCCTAGTAGTTTAGTAGGCTTGATTGTTTTTTTTTAGGTTTGAAGGCGCAAGTGTGTGGCTAAGCCAGCTTAGTTTTTATTGCGCAGCACGCGAAGCCTCAGCGGATGATCTTCGAGACCTATATCTACTTTACTAGTAATCTATTTAGCTTCAATTGTACTGAGTTTTTCAACATCGATGGAATTCGATGTACTAGGTGAGTGACCGTGAAAATCTAGTTCGCGAATTCGTCTACAAAAAGGTGGAGCACTTAGTTGATTAAACTCTGGTTTGTAGGAAAACATAATTCTAAAAAACTGCAGCCGGGTTAATTTGCGCAAATATTAAAATCGCAGTAAATGCCTTGAATTTAGTAGAACGAAGAACGATGCGCATTWACCACTGCGCAATGATCTCAACATAGCTGTTAATAAATAAAAAGAACTACACAAAAATAATCGACCATGTTTTGTCTACTGAAATGGAAAGATGTTWCGGACATGTCTTTCGTCGATGGTACCATCTTGGCGAGATCTTTGTCTTCGTGACTGAGAGAAAATTTTTTCTCTCTTCAGGGATGATTAAAAATCAAATCAAAAACATAGCTTGCATTTCCTAGATTTYATAATCAGATAGACATGCACTATATCGAGCCCGCTAGCGCTACGCTATCTAATCTCAGCGCAGCCATCACCSTTAAGCCGGGCAAAATCAACAAAAGATTAATAAGAATTAAGAGCGGTGAAATTTCACTGAAAAATGCCATTTGCAAATCGCTTTTTGTTTGGTTGTGCTTCWGTGTTTACCAGAAGTTTTCGCCTCCGCGTTTTCCGGTTTTTATTTTTCTGAAAGCTCCATTCGATCTGTRAGTTAGCCATGTCTGCTTAGATCAGTGCAGAGGTTCTTTCGGGGTTCCATGGATCTAAGAGTTTCCGTGCCTGACTAGGATCAACCAAGAGGTTGTTTCAGGTTTCGATCTGTGAGCTGGCCATGACTTA